CACTTGGGGATTCTTGTGGCAGGAATCCAAGGGAGGTCCATACAGATGCAGCCTCTGTGCCCATTCAAGAGAATGACAGGCAGAAAGTGGCGGCATTACTGTCCGCATGTAATTGTATATTGAACAATTACCTATGGATCGGGATATAGGCTTGTCCCAAGATGCAGACAGATTGCGTCCAGGGACAAGTATCTACCCTGACCTGCAAGAAAGCTTGCAGCCACTGTCGGCATGTTATTACTTTGACAAGGGAACAGCAGCCACATCTGTACGGATCCACGTGAGGTTCCCAACACAAGAATCCACAGACACACATAAATGTGCATGGGGCCTTAGAATAATTTCAGGAAATTTATAAGGTAGCAACTGTCAGACCTCCAAAGGTACACAAATCTAAGTTTAAAGAGTGCTCTCAAAATAAAGCTTAATAAGTAAATGCAGTAAATCTTTAAAAGGAGAACTATGAGGTGAGTGATTTTCACTCATCCTCATAGTTCTAGCCGACCTGTGACAATGAGACTGTCACAGGTCAGCTCAGTAGATCAGGAAGTGAGCGAACACACCGTTCGCTCACTTCTCGATCCTGTCACTGCAGAGAGCCGTGATAGGGGAGTGACTGGATTCCCCCCTCCCCTGTCCGATCCTCCAGTGCTGACTGGCGGAGCGGACGGGGGAGGGGGCGGGTACCGCTGGCTCTGCCTCTAGATAGGCAGAGCCAGCTGTCACTCACACAGCTGGGTGGATCCAGACATAATTGTCTGGATATGTTTCAGCTGCGGCGTCTCGGTATACCGCAAGCTGTAGCTCGCGGTATACTGAGCTTTGGGTGACGGGAGGACGCTAGTTTGTTTCCTCCCGTTACCCGGAGAACTATGGGGAAAAGCCCTAACCCCATAGTTCTCCTTTAATGATGGTAACATTGCACTGTGGGATGCAGATGTGGTAGATGGTCTATTTTCCTGAACCAAAGAGTGGATAGCCATTTGTTTCGTGTTTAATTATAACTTGTGTACCTGGATATCATTCTAAAAACATTTCAAGTAAGCAGTTTACCTGACAAAAGCATTTGTGATTTTGTACTTGTGATCTAACTGCATTTTCCATACTACATCGTCAGACAAAACGCATGTCGGGTGGGGTTTGCTGCTGTAAGCTGGAACTTTGAGCTTAGTGGACATGCCTGGGGTTGTGGAAGCCGCATCGTGCACTTTGGGTCTTGTTTTATATTTAGTATCACACATGAAGTTTTTTTTTTTTTAATCAATAAAATGTTTTGTGATTATGGTCTGTGTGATGAATTCTTCTCTGCTTCAAGCCAATACTGGGTGTTCGGACCCTTAAAGTGTTTTTCCCCATAGTTCTTAGTTCTCATAGTTGCACGTGATATACTGAGAGCACCGCAGCCGGGATGGATCCCGACAATACAGTCGAGGTCCAACCAGCTGCGTGAGTGACAGCTGGCTCTGCCTATCTAAAGGCAGAGCCAGCTGTGCCTGTCCCCTCCCCCATTCACTCCTCCACTCAGCGCTGGAGGATAGGAGAGGGGGGGGGGGGGAATCCCTGCAGGGAGCAGTGACTGACAGTCACTGCAGGGAGACTATCGGGAAGTGAGTGGATCGGCTGCATGTTTCTGCTCACTTCCCGATCGATTGAGCCGACCTGCGACAGCTTCTTTTCACAGGTCGGCTCTAACTATAAGGATGCCTGGAAATCCCTTACCTCATAGTTCTCAAAGGCAGGATATCCCCTTCTGGAGATAGAGAAAAGTTTTTTTTTGTGACCATCTATCTGGGAGGTCAATACAGAAGGTGAGAGGCTGCTATCTTAGTTGTGCAGAGGTGAAGACACCGAGTATTTTACACTTGTGGATGCACAATCTACTGGAGGGATTCATGATTCTTTTGTGGATGTATTTTACAGACACTACTTGTATGATTGCACATTTAATCCATTTGAGCACTTTGTGTGTCTTGTGTGGACATGTTATGATTATTTATAGATAGTCTATGTGTTATACACTGCTAGGTGTTTTATATTTATTGAATTCACTTTGGTTTGATATATTCAGTTCACATATTCATTTAATCGTTAGCGTGACACTTTGAGTTAATGATCATTCTATTACTTCAGTGTTGCCGCAAAAAAACACATTTGGCGTGGGATATTTCAATATTTTAGTTTTACTAATTGCAATTGCTGTGATTGGTTCAGAACGATCACAAGGCACAGAGCCACTCCGATTGGCTTTTCGGATTTTGCCTGTAAACTGCCCCGTCTAATAAAACCACAGGCACTGCGAGTGTGAATGTGTGCTGCAACCAGGGACGTTTAAAGTGTCTTAGAATAACTGGTGCCCCCAAACTGCCATCTAATGATCATGGTCAGTCCTGTTACATTGCCCTAGATCTGCTGTCACTGGTTTTATTTATGCTGACCATTACACAATAGGGCAGTCATCTAATAACCTTATCCCCCCCGCCCCCCACAACCCTGTCCAGCCACAAGAAAGCAACCTAATGTAAGGGGTCAATAATGCTTCAATAGCATAAGGAACGGTAAGGTTTTAACTGATGTTTGTGCCCTTTGTGGAGAAATATATAATTTAATAAAACAGTGGTCACAATTTTAGTTGTTACCAGAAGAGGAGGTTAGATTAAAATCTTCTAAATGGAGACACCTGTTCTGGTGACAATCTAAGTGGAGATTTTCCCTCAGTTTTGAGTGATATTCTTACATTTTGTTGTGTCTCCAAAAGAGGAAGTCCCCACCCCCCCCAGTCTGACACAGACAGCAACAAAGACTCAGCATAAAGTATGCCCTGGTAGGAATTAAAAACAAATAAGGCACAAACAATTGAGTGGGCTGCAAAATGTGTCTATTTAAAGTGACACCAAGACCCCGTTCACACCGGGGCGGTTCCACCGACATGCACGATACCATACATTGCTATGGGGACCGTTCATGCAACTGCACGGTCCGAACCGCCCAAACTGCTCCCTGCACTATTTTTCGCGGTTACAGCGCAATTAAAAACTCTCAAAACCCCCCTTTTGAGATCACCACGGTAACCGTGCTAATCCGCAACCACCCTGGTGTGTATGGGCTCTAAACTCAGACGTTTAATATTATAAATGTATTCAAGAACCTTAATTATTAACATAAAATGTATCATATTTGTGTATCACTCAGCTACAATCTCAATGCAAACTAGTAAACTAAACGTGAGATTGTAGTTCATCATGAGAGCGAGCTTGGAGCAGCGACTACTTTACAACACCCACAGGGACCATGGGGAACAAACGTAGCCACCCTCCAAAAGAAAGGACACTGTCAGCACCAATTCAGAGATGATTTGAGGATCTACAGCCGAGTGACACACAAATAAGATCCATTTTTGTTAATAGTTAAAAAGGTACTTGAATGTATTTTTAAGATTTATCTCCTGAGTTTAGGGTCACTTTACATGTACCTGTAAGCAAATAGTTTTTCTCATTTTGAATAGTATGATTAGAGCCCATTGGGTGTTAGTGCAATCCAGGTCACTATTACAAAGGCTTCCCCAGAGATGCTGCTCTGGTCAAAGTTTTACCATACAGGAAATATGGGAAACTTCCCACCTGCAACACAGACAAAGGTTAAGGGGAATGTAAGAACCCCTGTCAGCTTTTTATTGTTGTCTCCCTGTTGCAAATTGTCTCCCTTCCTATCTGGAAGTGGGGGGAAATCCTCTCTCATAGGCCCCGTTCACATGTAGCGACTTATCGCACGATTTTTGCCGCGCGATATCGCGAGAAGTCGCCGGCTAATGATAGTCAATGGAGCTGTCTTAGCTCCATGTCGCGGTCGCAAGTGGCTTCTACCGGACCCTTTTTTCAGCGGATTTTGCGCGATTTTATTTTTTTTTTATGGAGCCCGACGGAGAAGGTTGCGCTACCGTCGCCCCGAAAGTCGCGCTATCCCGGCCGCTGCAAAGCTATGTCGCTACATGTGAATGGGGCCTAAGTGAGCCCAACATAGAAAGACTTGACAGGTATTCAAATCCTTTCCCTTCATCACAAAATAGAAAAAAGCTTTTTTTTTTTGCGTTTTTCCGTTCAGTGAAACGCGCGTTTCACTGGCGGTATAATTTTCCCCCCCTTTATTTTCCTCTATTTTTGAAAAAAAAAATGTTTTTAATTTTCACTTTTAAACTTCACGCCGGCTCCGCCTCCCCTGCGACGCGGCCGCTCGCAAGGGCCGGAACCCGGAAGTCGCCAGCCGCCGGAGGACACAGCGGGGATCGCGGACAAGGTAAGACCTGTACGCTGTATTCCGGAGTGTGGCTCGGGGTTACTGCTTTGTTAAACCTGATCCACAGTCGGGAATACCAATGGAAACGCGTGGTAAAACGCCCCAAACAAGTTCCTGTACTTCTTTGGGCGTAGGGCGTTTTGCAGGGCGTTCCTACGTGCTGTAAAACACTCAGGTGGGAACCATGCCCATAGGCAATCATGTTGAGGTGTGAACCAGGCCTTAAACGCAAAACTGTTTTTAGATTTGCATAGAGTTTCAGGTTTTTGCTGTGTCCCCAGGAGACTCACTCTAATTGTCCTGATCACCAGTCAATGGGAATGAAAGTGATGGGTAAATCATCCAAAATGTTGAGTTGTCACCAGAACAGGAAGGGGAGTGTTTATATGGGGATACTTGATTCTGTGACAACTATGTGAGGATTTCCCTCACATTGTAAATATCACCTGGCACCTACAGCACAGGAAGTGGAGGAAAATCCCCCTAATGATTGTACCATTAGGTCTTCAACTTAGGTTGAGAAAATTTGCATTAAACGCACGTGTGGTCTGTTCCACATCTAACAACAATAACCTCGGTACGTGTATGGCGGCCTGTAGGCCGACCTAGAAGGCGAAAGCGCAAACTTGCCGCCTCCACTATGAGAAGACAGGCTGCGGCCTAGTCTCCATTGACAACGTAAATCCTCCCGCCCCCCCTGCGGGCCTCACCTCCTGGTTGAAGGCGTTCACGGCGTCCATGCTGCTGTGTTGAGTGAGGGGCGAGGTAAGGAGGAGGGGTCACCACACGCTGCGTGTCTCAAGGCCTTCCTCGCCTCAGCGTCCGGGCTGCTTCTCGCTGCTACCGCCGTCCTCTCCGCTCCCGCATGTCCTGCACTGAGGAGGAAGAGAAAGCTCTGCGGGCTCGGTCGGTGGGTGCAACGCAAAGACTGAGAAAGAGGACAGAGCTTCGCTGCCTCACCGCCGGAACAAGATGGCGCCGCTCGGCCAGAGCGAGGCACGTCGGGAAAGAACAGAGGGGAGGAACCAGAGCCAGCCGTGCTCGCGCTATCCAGGCGTGTTCTCTCAGTCGCTTCCCGCCTTCCAGGCGCGCTCCGGCACCCGAGTGCACGATGTGACGAGGCCACGTGAGCTCCCCCTCCGCACTGTCAGTGGCAGTCTGGCTTGGCTTGGCGGGTCACGCGAGCCCCCATTCTGTACTCTATCTGCGTCAGTTTGACTTGGCATGTCACGTGATCTCTCCCTGTTTATTGTACTGTATCAGTGGTGGTCTGGCTGCTGGTTAGCAGACATGTTGGGCTGCTTAGAAAATGTCTAAAAACATCTCAAATTCAATTGTAAAAATGTGTAATTCTTGGGTGAAAACATTGATAAATAGACCCTTAGGGCCCATTCACAGTAGAGGGAACTTATCAAAACTGCAAAAACAGAATCTGGAGCAGTTGCCCAGGGCAACCAATCAGCTTCTCTCTTCAGTTTGCTCAGGTAAGATTTGGAAATGAAGCGAAGCTGATTGGCTGCAGTGCAAATCTGCTCCAGATTTTGATAAATGCCCCCAATGTAAAGTGCCAAGAGTTTAGCACATGTGCACTTCCTTGTGCTTAGTGGCGTCACAAGGGGGGTGCGGCCCGCATCTGGGTGCCACCATTGGAGGGGTGACATCAAAATGACTGTCAGTCATTTTGGTGTCGCCTCCTATGAAAAGTCGGTCATGGACCGAGAGCCCGACAGTGTCAGGAGAGAGGAGGGGACCTGGTGGCATACCTTATCCCGTCGGGAGAACGTCTCTCCTCTCTCTGCTGGCGTCCATCACCGAGATGGCCGCCAACAGGCTTCAAAAAGACCACTGTGCATGCGTGATGACTTCATCACGCGTGCGGCATGCGCAATGATGTCACGGCAGGGTGTCACCCGGTCTCTCACAGTGTTTTGACATTCACACTGGTACTCCTATGTTTAGCAGGGAACCCAACCTGAAAAAAGCAATTTCAGGGAGGTGCCCTCTGCCCCCCATCTGGGGGGGGGGGAGAACACCCCCCTGAAATGATGGCAGATAGTAAAGAAGCTATTGCTTCCGGTGCTATCGGCTGTTTTCTTTTTTTTTTTAAGGAATGAATGGCTAGATTGCTATTGGCTATTTGAATTTGCAATAGCCAATAGCAAGCTGGCTATTGCACCCGCCCTCTGCTGCTGTCAATCAGCAGAGGAGGACCTGATGGAGAACTTCAGGTCCACCTCTGCTGATTGACAGCAGCATTGGGCGGGTGCAATAGCTAGTCTGCTATTGGCTATTGCAAATTCAAATAGCCAATAGCAATCTAGCCATTCATTCCTATGCTGTTTTTTTTTTTTTTAAACTCTGACAGCGGCTCCGATATCAGAATTTTTTTTTAAAAACAGACCGCAGGGAAAGATTTACTGTGCTAGAAAATGTTTCTCTCCTGGGCAGCCGGGAGCCGCTATCTAATAGCGGGCGAGTCCCGGAACGTCCGGGAGAGTTGGGATGTCTGATTTAGGTTATTCACGCGCAGGAGGAATGATCTGCAAACTATAAAAGCACTTTACGCTTCCAAGATCAGGTTTCTCTGAGTTTAGCCTCATTTTCTGGCCTTTACACGTGTTTAGTGTTTATAATCTACCCCTGGAGGCACAGAGTTCAATTATCTCTGGACGCAGCTATTCGCTGGCAAACGCACGGTTTCCATGACACCATGATGTCCTATGAAGGCATATTTGTCAGTGCCGGTGTGAATGAGGCCTAAAGGCCTGTGTGGAAGGTCAATAGGCCCTGCCGTGCCCAAAGAAACACATCGCAGGATGTCTGATCAGTGGATGTACATCTCGGCATTGTGGTAAAAGTCAATTTTTCAATCGACTTTTGTCAAAACTGCTCGGTTATCACCCCGCCCACCGGCCTGTGATTGGACAGTGCAGATGCAGTGCAGACTGATGAGCTCATCCCTCTGCTCACTGGGCTCTCTCCATTTGTGGTATAGGGGGCCTCGACTGTGGGATTTATATTTTTGAGCGTTTTGTAGAGCGTTCGTCGAGCGTAGAACGCGCTACAAAACGTTCAGGTGTGAACGAGGGCTTAGAGGGAATCTTTAGAGACTACAGGCATACTACAGGTGTTGTTGGAGACTGGGGAAAAAAAAGTCAGAGAGCGTGGACATGTTACATGAGACTGCTAGAGATCACTGATATTGCTGCCCCTTTGCAAAATAATCTTCCCAATATGGGTTTCACATGGCTACACAGCAGGTATTAAAGGGCTCCATGTTGGGTACCAGGGATCTAAACCATGACTGGACAACATTTAGCTTGCTAAAGCACATTGTATCATAAACAACTGCTATGCTATTTTTATATTCTCAGTTTTGCTGATCTCCTCCCACCTCTTTCTGCCACTTGCTGTCTACATGCACTCACTCCAACATTGGGTACACATAATTGCTCTGGAGCAGCTTCCTGAGAGTGACCATGGTGGCCCATGTCTCCACAATACGCGTTGGCTTCATCAGGGGGGTCATGTGATAGGGTGAAAATGCAATGCAGTGGGAATCTGTTGTTACCCCAGGGGCGTCCCGAGGCCGGGTGTCACCCGGAGCGGAGACCGGGTGTCACCCCGCCGTGACGTCATCGCGCATGCGCGGTCATCTTTTTGCCACCTGCCGGCGTCCATCACCAAGATGGCCGCCGGCAGGTGTCAATTAGATTACCGCGCATGATAGGAGGGGACGTTCACCCGACGGGATGAGGTATGCTGCCGGGTCCCCTCCTTTCTCCTGACACTGTCGGGCTCTCGACCTTTTAGAGTGCCCGACCTTTTAGAGGGGGTGACACCAAAATGACTGTCAGTTATTTTGGTATCACCCCTCCAATGGTGTCACCCGGGTGCGGGCCGCACCCCCCTTGTGACGCCACTGTGTTACCCCACACCAGGAAGTGCCTGAACAAAGCCCTTAATGGCAGGATCACCAGCTATTCTGTACTGAAAACAACTTTTTTTTTATAAAACTCCATTGCTGGCTCACTATCTTATTGTTACTAATATATTCTTGGTTTATACACTGAGTGGCCAGATTATTATGACCACCTGACGTTTGTAGGCAAATTAGCTATAATTAGCTATAATTTGGCGCTGAAGTTGCTAGAGGGCCAGACCATTATAAATAGGGAAGCAGGTTGTTTACCACGACAGTAGAAGTGATTTATTTCTGAAGATACGGGGAAACAACGCGATTTAACAGCCTTTGAACGTGGGATGATTGTTGGCGCTCGGAGCCATGGAGCGAGTATCAGCAAAACAGCAGAATTCGTTAAATGTTCAAGAGCAGCTGTTGTTAAAGTGTTAAAGACTGGACTGTCAGCCGAAAATCTGGGTCTGAACGTGCGAATTGTGGCCGTCAGCGACTAGTCAATGTTAGGGCAGAACGGAGAGTGGCAAGACTGGTACAAGACAACAGAAGGGCAACAGTGCCTCATATTACTGCACATCTTAATCAGGAATCCTCTCAAATGATCTCTGAACACACTGTTCGCCGTACACTGCATCGTATGGGGTATGGAAGCCGAAGCTCAGAGAACATGTGACCTATACAAGATTGGAACAACCACTTTTTAGCTGAACTATACTGTATATTATGTGAATGGATTTCTCTTTGTCAAATAAACCTTTTGTATTTTCTTATTTTGTTGTTTGTGTGACAGTTTTGGGTGCTGCGTTAGCATAAATATACCTCGTTGACATTTTTGGTTGTCTATACCAGCCTTTCTCAACCAAGGTGCTGTAACATCCTGGGGTGCCTTCTGGCTTCTTCAGGGGTGCCTCAAATTTCGGCACAGCATCATGCCTTTCCATGGTGCAGGGGAACTGGTTGCCCACACCATGGAAAACTAATGATGCTAATCCAGGGAAGGCGGGATCCATTCACAAAAGGACGGGAGTTCAACTCCATCCAGGCCTGCTCCACCTCCTGCCATAATGGTAGGATTCTAATAGGAAGGGAACATCAGGAGGACTCTGATGTGAAGGGGGGGCTCAGGACTCTGATGTGAACAGGGGCTGAGGACTCTAATGTGAATGGGGACTGAGGATTCTGATGTGAGGGGAGACTGAGGACTCTGATGTGAAGGGGGGGCTCAGGACTCTGATGTGAACAGGGGCTGAGGACTCTAATGTGAATGGGGACTGAGGATTCTGATGTGAGGGGAGACTGAGGACTCTGATGTGAAGGGGGGGCTCAGGACTCTGATGTGAACAGGGGCTGAGGACTCTAATGTGAATGGGGACTGAGGATTCTGATGTGAGGGGAGACTGAGGACTCTGATGTGAAGGGGGGGCTCAGGACTCTGATGTGAACAGGGGCTGAGGACTCTAATGTGAATGGGGACTGAGGATTCTGATGTGAGGGGAGACTGAGGACTCTGATGTGAAGGGGGGGCTCAGGACTCTGATGTGAAGAGGGGCTGAGGACTCTAATGTGAATGGGGACTGAGGATTCTGATGTGAGGGGAGACTGAGTACTCTGATGTGAAGGGAGACTGAGGACACTGAAGTGAAGGAGTGACTGAGGACTCTCATGTGAATGGGGGACTGTGGCTACTGATGGGATGGAAACTGAGGACCCTGATGTGAAAGGGGGGACTGAGGACTCTGATGTAAGGGCCCAGTCACACCATAAAGAGTGCGTTCCAGAGCGTTTGGCCTCTGGAACGCAACACAGCCGGCTCGCTTTGTTTTGGGGCGGGAGGTGGCGTGGCAGTGCATTGAAATCAATGGCACCGCAACCACACACCCCTGCCCCGAAGCTCGATCGCTGACACCCAAATGTGTGGCACATTAGTGCCTGCGTTCTGGTCCAGTGCAATCTGCAAAAAGTAGTGCATGCACCATTTTTTGCAAATCGCACAGGAGCTAAACGCAGGCACCAATGAGCCACGCGTTCGGGTGCGGGCGAGGGGCATGGCTGCAGTGCCATTGACTTCAATGCACCGCCACGCCCCCTCCCGCCGCAAAACAAAGTGAGCCGACCGGTTTGCGTTCC